CTTCTTTGGTCTCCAGTTAAATGTAGTTAGGTAAATGAAGCCTGATAGATAATCTAGATGCTTGTCTTAGAGTTGTCATTGCCTTCCTGGCTTAAGACCCTAGGATCTCCTCAGGTGGGCTTTCCCCTCCATGGCTAATCCTCTATTAGCATAGTTTTTGTTTTTAGTCCAAATACAGGGTGTTTGTGGGGTTTTTTTTTTTCCCCTTGGATTGCATTTTTAAAAGGTGAGACACCTTCTGGTTAGGACAAACTAGAACTAGAACTGCCCCTTAGGGATTCCAAGGCTGTATGTAATCTTTCTCCCACAGAGCCACTGGTGGGTTTGAACTGCCAGCCTTTCTGTTAGCAATCAAGCACTTAAAGAAACACCACGGGGGCTCTTTCATCATGGATTATACTACCAAAAATCAGATTGGGAGCAAATGGTAGTATACTGTGGCAATCTTTAATGTTCCTTCTCTGTTTTGCACCCATGGTCTGGAATAGTTGTGATAAGTCTGCAAATTGGGCTTCTCAAGTAGAATGTCATTCATCCTGCTTGACTACAAAATGTGTAACTCAGATTGGGAACACGGTAAAAATGTTTGAGTCACAGGGAAATGTTTAATTCAGATGAATTGATTCTATTGTGGCTGACTTTTCTAGGAAGACATTTAAGTTCAAAAATAACCATGATATTCAAGAGGCAATTTGTGATCTTATATGTAGTTTTCTCTTAGAGAAAAGATTCTCATAACTCAAAAGATTCTCATAACTCTTTGGAATCTGCTACAATAAGATCTATTTTGTTTGACACAGAACAAATCTATAAAAAGGAGTTTTCTGATAAGTGCTGGTTTTAACCATCAGTATTTTTGCCATAAATGATATAAACATTCTTTTCTAGATTTAAGGTAAAGAAAGCATATGTTCAGAAGAATTCTAAAATGTGAGAGTTAGTGTTTCCTGTAACTGACGATTCCTTGCCCCCTTGGTAACCTCTAGAGTACATTTGGAGGATTTTATCCAGCATGTAAATTCTCTTCATCGGGACAGCAGGTTAAAGAGCTGAGGACTGGGAGCCAGGAGTTGAATTTGAGAAGTGTCAGATGTTACACAAATGGAAGATAGTTTATCTGCATTTATTAGAGTTGGGGCTCTTATACCTGCCTGGGCCAAAGAGACTGGGAAGAAAATTTTGAGGAAAAAATTGCTGAACATTCTTTTGTTGGCAAGAGTTCGAATTTTCCACTAGCACTTGCCCTGGAGGCATTGCTGGGCCCATCAGGGAAACATTACTGGGTGGGATCATTGGGACAGGCCTGCCTGCCCGTCAGGCCCAGAACCATCAGAAACTCACAGAAGCCTGTGAACAAAGGAAAATTGTTCCGTCTTACTCAGTGGGTCTTTACTTTCATGGATTGGTCACCTCCACACTTCCTGAAGAGAACCTGCTTTCTAGTGGACCTAAGCTGAATCTATTACAAACCAAAAGTATGGAGCACACAAGTTAAATGTTTAAGTCTTTCATTAGTCGAGGGTGCCAAGGCAGGACTCCTTTTGCTTCTTCCTTACTTGACTGCCCTGGGGAGATGGGTTGATCAAGTACTAAAGTATTCGCTCAGAGTACTAGAATATGGTGGGTTTCCAAATTCAGTTTGGATTCATGCTTTACTACCTTTCAGCTAAGATGTTAGTTTCTAATGGAAACAGATTTGTGTGAAACTTAAGGTATGTGTGGTATATTTCACAAGTGTTGTGAGGCTTAGAGTCTTCTTGGCCTAGACCTGGCATGCCTGGAACAAAGAAACACCAGGTAGTGAAACAGAAAACTAAACCCTCTGCCATCAAGTAAATTCCAACTTATACCAACCCTGTAGGATGGAATAGAAATGCTCCATAGGATTTCCAAGGCTGTAAGTCTTTACAAAAGCTGACTGCCGTATCTTTCTCTCATGGAGCACCTGGTGGGTTTGAACTGCTGACCTTTTGGTTAGCAGCTGCATGCTTTAACCACGATGTCACCAGAGCTCCTTTCAGGTAGTAAACCAAAACCATACTCAAACTGCCATTGAGTCGATTTTGACTCATAGGGACCCCCATTGGGTTTCCAAGGCTGTAAACCTTTATAGAAGCAGGCCGTCAGGCCGTCTCATCTTTCTTATGCAGAGAAGCTGGTGGGTTCAAACCACTGACCTTTAAAGCCAGATGCCTTAACCACTATACCACCAGAGCTCCTTTCAGGTAGTGAAGACTCCCCAAAATAAACCCTTCACAGGACCCTCATTATTGTGGGGTTTTATACTGGTTTTTTTAGTGCATCTGGAGAACTTTATTTAAAATACAGATTGCTGACCACCTGGCCAAATGCACTGAACCAGACTCTGGAAGGATGATTCCTTTTTAATTCTTAAATATTTGCCTCACAATTATAGAAGAAATGTTGAGAAGGTGAAGCCAGTTTTTAAGGGCACTCTGGGCCATTTGCTGAAGACATGCTCAGCATTACTGAATTCGGGGCTAAAACCAAAGGTATGGCCATACAATTTCTATACAGCCAAGAGATACCCTTCATATGTCCATGTGAGACTTCAGGGAAAAAATAGCTGGTTTCTTTATACCAACAGTAAAAAATGTAATCTTTAATATGCCATATGGTACAGTAAATTAATATGTTGGCTGTTACCCTGGAAACAAATTTACCTTGGTGTTTATTGCCTTGAATACAATTTTCTTTCAATTTCAAGTCCTCTGAGCTTTCACTGAAACACAGTTAAATAGCTTTTGCATCATCTTGTAGTTTGTCTTCAGTTTGAGAGTTAGATTTGGCGTAGATGTATGCAGTAAGATTTATATATGGAATTTTTTAAGTAGAATAAAGGGATTCAACTTCCAGTATAAAATCAAACGTACACTGCTTTGAAACTGGTATGTGCTCAGCTGTTAAGTGTCAAGTGTGATAGTGTTTCTAGATCTTAAGGACCTGCCTCTATGCCACAGTTCTTACCTCCTCCTCCTGTAGGATGAGACATAGTCACTTTAGACGTCTTAGGTGCTGTTTCATTTTGAGGCATGTTCATCATTCACTTCGTGCTGTTTTCATGTTAAAGGGCACTTGGCATTAGATTACTTAGGACAAGTGGAAGTAATAAAGATGTTCTTTATTTTTTATTTGGTTTAAAATTTTCATCTTGATGGGGGTAAGATTTTAACTGTTGCAGGCCACTGAAGTATAAAATACAATCACACCCATCCTCTGATCACAGATGGTGTGAGCCAGGAGTCTGTTGGTGGAAGGTTCCAGTTTGTGTTGTCTGAATATTGCTGTTGGTTGCATAAGCATTTCCAGCAGGAGTTTCACCGTCCCTGCAGTCAGCTGCAAGGTGATCTTGGCCTCCTGAGATTAGGGATTGACAGTCTTTTCTGTGCTGCCTTGTGACCATATTGCCTGCTTGGGCTATGTGGTAGTTTTAGGAACTAGAGATGGAAAAGCAAACACACTGGCCCTGACTCTCAAAGCTCTCAAGTGCTGGGAAAATGGCAACTAAACACTTTCTAGAGAGACTGCTGTTTTGCCAGGTTGGTTGGATGGGAGCATTTAGAGTTAAGTCTGGAAAATAACGATTTGACCGAAAATACCATCTGCAGTTCTAGGCAAGGCGTATGGGTTTCTCATTTTCAGCTGTCCTTGCATAAGAAAGACCCCTTAGTTTATCTTTCAGAAAGATGGGTGAGCTGTTGGGACACTGCTGTGGTTTGGAGGTACCCTGTTCAACAGTACTGAGCCACTGACCGTGTGCTGGGCACTGTTCTAGAGGGGCTTGTGAACGTGGCTTTAGCTTTACTGAGATCGTGTGGTGGCGTCTTACTGTACACAGATCAAGGAAGGGCCTTAGCAGTGGGCTGTTGAAGAGCTAGTAAAAGGACAGTGCTTGGCCTAGAGAAGAGGTTATTGTAAGCGTTTCCTTCATTTATTTGGTGATTCAGAAGGTACCAAAGGGCATAAGGTGTAAAGTTGGCCCCAGCTTTCCAGTGTTCTTGTTTTGCATCTGCCCATAGGTATTTCCTTAGACTGGTGCTGGCCTGATAACGTCTCACCTCTTGCTTTCCCAGTTAATAAACAGGGCATCTTAGAGTTCACCTCTCCACTGTTAACAAAAACTATGCAGTGTGAGCCTACTCCAGGACACATTCTGGCATTTGTAGGTCAGATTGTACAAGTTACCTTCACATTCAGCGGGATGCATAGGGTGGGCACGAAGCATGGGAGTACAGGTGAGTTAGAAACACTACATGGGCTCTGGTTTTTTGTATTACAGCACAGGGTGTGCTCAGGTGACGCATGTTCTGTGTAGCAGTCACTGTCACATTCATCTGTGCATGTGTACCAGCTGGGACACCCTGGTGATGGAAAGCCTCTGGGTGTGGGTTTTTTTTTTCCCCCCCCAATGAAGAAAACTTCCCAGTGTCCAGACTTTGTTTCCCCTTTTCATCTTTGCCCCTGTTTCTCAACTCTTCATGTTCATTAGTTTGAGCTACATGTAGTTGTTTATTGTGGCCTCTCTTACAAGTGATGTTAATGGAGCATCTTGTAAAAGAGCCATTTGCTTCCGTTTATAATAATTGAGATTTTTGGATGGATTGAACCATGGCACATATAGCTCACTCACCCAGCAGGCCGCGTGCAGATGGCCTAGGTCCTAAGCAAATGTCAGTTACTGATACTGCTACACAGGACAGTGATCTTCACAGCAGTGAGTTTGAGGCCTGGTGGAGCATCTAGAGCAGGACCTCCTAACCAAGCGTGTCCACGTGGAGGTTCCCCCAAACCCCAGGCGCTTCCTCAAAATTCGTACCTACCCAGCTAGTTTTTATGACCCTAGCTATTAATAATCATCTCACGTTTCTATAAATTTTTTAATGCACTGTATACACATTTTTTATTTTCTTCCAAAATGCATCTTTATGTGACACGATTGCTACATTGCTTATTTTGACTGGTTTTCTTTCCCAAACTAGTTGGTGACAAAGTTCCAGCTGATATAAGACTAACTTCCATCAAATCTACAACCCTAAGAGTAGACCAGTCGATTCTCACAGGTAAGTACTGTGTATCGGAAGGGCACTGAGAGCTGGAGGCTGGCTCACGGCTCACGGCTCACGGCTCGTGCTGTTGGTTGACTTGTGCCCCACTGTGTTTTCATAATATCCCATCTTAAAGCAATCACAAATACCTGTGAGAAGGTTGTTAGGCTGTTTGTCAGTCTGCGGGGCTTAAGTCATGGAGGAGGAAATGGAGGCTAATGATTTAAAAACAAAACCACTCTGGCCTTCATCTCTAAGGCCCTTATTAAATTAGCTTTTGTTTGAAAGTATAAAACAAAACCATTACTACGCTTTTACTTATAATTAAAAGTTAATAAATCCCTTCATTAGCAGAGGTGGTCATTTTAAGGCTGCAGTGCTATCTGCCTGCTTTGTGGAGAATGAATTCTCTGCATAGCCTCCCATCATCCAGGCCATTTACAGGCTCCAGGGCTGGCTAATCTTGCATCTAACATATTTCACAATTATCAAATGTACAATTAACAAAAAGTTAGCACACAAAAAAGCTGGCAAATATTCTACTACCTGGAGTTCACACGCTTTGATTTGGGATTGTTCGGAGCATTTTCCCGTTTTTGTTTGATAAAGGCACAGTTTAGGGTGGAGGGCTCCCATGATGAAGTGGAAGTAAGGTGGTCAGAAGATTAACTCTGATACAATGCTGACCTGCACTGAATTGTAAGTAAATATGAAATTTAAAGGTTATCAAGACTTTCTATCTGATGATCACTTTTTTAAAACAACTAGTAATATAAATGTAGTAATGTGACTAATAACCTGGGTTTTGTGGGGTTTTTTTAATTGTTTCTTTATGAATAGCTTGTCTATGAAAACTCCCATATTAAAAACTCCCATATTAGCAACAAGCTAGAAACTAAGCCATAAAATGTTGGGAAAGTGGGCAGCTTATGTGTATGAAATTCTCATTGTGGCCAGCAGTGCTATAAACTTCCTGGAGGTTCTTGATTGTCTGCTTTGGCTCAGTTACTCACACTGTAGTTTTAGGCCGGATTGAAAACCAGATCCATTCAAGGACTGGGTGGCATCGGCTTCACTTGGCTTGGAGTCAACAATGGCAGCCACTCTCATTGACCTCATGCTTGAAACCAAACTCAACAACATTTAAAAAGGTCTAAAAAGCTAGTCTGGTCTGTGGTGCCATGTGATCTTTCAGTACAACTGCAAATGGCTGGGGTTTTATCCATTTTACTTCATTAAAATAGAATAATTTCATTAATTCTTGCCAATATTTCTAAAACACTAACTTCATGTCTCATCTTTGGTGTACAGAGTAGTCTTTCTCGTGGCTGCTCATCATTACTTATTATATGTATCCTGTGTAGTCACTTAAGAGTAAACACATGCTCTGTTTATATAGGTATTGTATATACAAAGACACATGTAAGCATATTCACAGTATTAGACTATAAAATAATACTGGAAAATAAACTAAATTAAGATCCTATTGGCAAAGGCTGTGTTTACCTCCTTTGGATGAATTGGGCCTTTTGTCTCTTTCCCATACTGGGCACGTGAGGTGGGGGGATAGCACGCAGCTAACTGTCCTTTGTCTCCCCACCTGCCTAGGTGAGTCTGTCTCTGTCATCAAGCACACTGACCCTGTCCCTGACCCACGGGCTGTCAACCAAGATAAGAAGAACATGCTGTTCTCTGTGAGTCCTTCATCACGTTGATCTTTATTTAAAGGGGTTCTCGAGAGGCTTTAGCAGTCACTGCTTCCGTCAGTAGTCAGGCTTTAAAAAGTGCTGGTGATCATTGCAGAGGGTGATTCTACAGCCTCGGGCCCAGCTATCGACAAACAGCAGTGCTGTGTAATGTCGAGTGTGACTTAGCCATCTTTTTTATTTGCTTGTAATTGGCAAGTTTTTTGAGGGGGGGGCGGAAATAATCAGGTCAAATATCTTTGAAACTCTTACCTGTGATCGTGTGTGTGTGTGTGTGTGTGTAATTTTAATGGTAATTTGGGTGAAAGTTTACAGAGCAAATTCATTTTCCATACAATTCATATACATTTCATTTCATGACATTGACTGCAATTCCCCACAATGGAACAGCTCTCTTCCCACTTCCTCCTCATAACTTCCTCCTCATAGTTACCTCTTCCCTCTGTGCATTCTGCCCTCTGAGCTATCTCCCTGTGCAAACACTGCCCTTCTGATCTCCCATGATTAATCATTCTAAGGAGTGTATCTACCTGATATGCCTTTCTGTCATTTGGCTGGAAGCCACAGCAGTGAGTTCAGTTCCAGACCTGAAGGGTAACTAGTTACCTGTGAACACTGTGAACATAGATTTGAAGCGATAGGGTTGCTGTGAGTCAGAATCAAGTTAGCAGCAACAGATTTGGTTTGGATTTTTGTGGAGAAAATCTCACCTGTAAAGGATGATTTCAAAGTATGCATGGTGTCAGCTGCTTATATGTGATTAACAAAAAAAGATGTGTTAAGTGAAAACTTATGCCAGTTTTTGACTCACTATTTCAGTTTCTCTATTGATTTGGAAAGCTTTAAAATAACAGGTTAGGACACCTTGTAGAGTTTGGGTGGTTGGAATATAGAATGATATTTCAAGTGGTGGGCTTTGTGGGCGACACAGAGCAACACAGTGAAAACAAGGAAGCAATATCACAAATGGTGGGAATTAAAGTGGGACATGGCAAGAACACATGTATTTAATTCTGTTGCTTTGACTGCCCGGTGTTTGAGCAGAGGTCTTCGGGTAGAGCTTGGCTGAGGTAAGTACGTGGCTGCGTGAAACTGGAACAGATGTACCACTTTGTGCATGAAGTGAAGTATATGATAAGCATCGTGTGGCTGGCAGCCTTGAGAGCAGCCACAGGTGGACCCAGGAGAAGGTGGCAGCAGAGGCCCCAGAGCCAGAGTTTGCTGGCACTCTGGGACCCACGTTGGGAAGTACTGTCAGTTTTGTGACCAGTCCTGTACTTCTGTCCCAGGGCACAAACATTGCTGCTGGAAAAGCCATGGGAGTGGTGGTGGCAACTGGAGTTAACACTGAAATTGGCAAGATCCGTGATGAAATGGTGGCAACGGAACAAGAGAGAACACCCCTCCAGCAAAAACTAGATGAGTTTGGAGAACAGCTGTCCAAAGTCATCTCCCTCATCTGCATTGCAGTCTGGATCATAAACATAGGGCATTTCAATGACCCAGTTCACGGAGGCTCCTGGATCAGAGGAGCTATCTACTACTTTAAAATTGCAGTGGCCCTGGCTGTCGCAGCCATTCCCGAAGGTCTACCTGCTGTCATCACCACCTGCCTAGCTCTTGGAACACGCAGAATGGCAAAGAAAAATGCCATTGTTCGAAGCCTTCCCTCTGTGGAAACTCTTGGTTGTACTTCTGTTATCTGCTCAGACAAGACTGGCACGCTTACAACGAACCAGATGTCAGTCTGCAGGGTGAGTCCTTTAAGAATTGTTCCTGACTGTTGTTCTTACCCATCCTAAGAGTTGACCCTCATGCCATCAAAACCTGTAATCTATAATTTGATAACTTTTTATGTGCTGAACACAAATTCTGTGTTTAGTAACCTGAATTCTGTGTATAGTAACCTGGAGCCCAAGATAATTTCCAGTAATTTAGAGGAATCAAAAATTCCTAAATTTATTTCCTGAAATACAGGACTTCAGCTTGGCTGCCATTCTTGTATTGGGGAGTTGACTTACAGGTGTTCTGCAGATGCCTGTGGTCTTCTGCATAACTTAATGTCCCTAGGTTTGACTTAGGAGCTCTGGTGACATAGTGCCTAAGGTGTTTGACTGCTAAGCAGAAGGCTGGCGGTTCAAACCCACCAGCCACTCCTCAGAAGAAAGATAGGGCAATCTACTTCCGTAGTGATACTGACTTAAACAACTTTGTAGTCAGAGCATAACTTTCCAAAAGGTACACTCATGCAAACAGAGAACATGCGTCACAGATTGTGTTCACTTATTAAGAAGGGAACCATATTAATGGTAACGCTGCTTATAAGAGCATTTGAGGCCAAGAAAAGAATACGAGCCTAGGACTGCTGGGTTAGATTACTGTCTGGTAGGACATCAGCCAGTCTTTAAAAGTACAGGTTTTCTTTTCTGTAAGGCACACAAACCCATGCCTTCATATAATATGAGCCCTTAACTAATAGTAAACAGCAGAGTCAAATAGTAGTCCCTTTTCCTGGGAATGATTCTGTAGGACAATGAGAGGGCCTCAGTCATCCTGTTGGTCTTATTTATTAGGTTTTGGATGGTTTTTCCTCATCACTGCAAATTATTGTGGCTTAATGTCATTAAACCTCTGAACCTTTATCTTATAATTCCTGGTGATTTTTATATATACATACACACCCCAATTCTTTGTCTAATCTAAACCCAGGTTTAGAATACATGGGTGGTAGATGGATGTTTAAAACTAATGGGGTGTACGGCTTGGCTTTATACTTCTTTAGTAGCTGAGGGAGTTGACTGAATTTTTTAGGTCTCATTCCTTGGACCCAAAAAAGGTTCCATAAATAGGCTGAAAGCTAGCTCTGGCACATTGGTTGTTCTTGGGGAAGAGGGAATTTCATGCTAAGTGTCTCATTTCCTGAAAAGTTGTTTAAACTAAACCTGAAAGCTGTAATTCCTCAGATAGTCTTTATTCCAGGCAAGTAAGTAGTAGTGTGAAATTGTTAATAAGATTTTTACCTATGAAAAAAATTGAGTCCATCTTTATAATAGTTACTTTTTACTCTCCCGTAAATGGTTTGATTTAAAATGTTCTCTTTTAGTAAAGAAGCGGGTGGTACGCTGAGGTAGGTGGAGTGGTCCCTGTCAGTGTTCTGTGAGAGGCGGCTTGCAACGTGTTGTGTTACTGCCCTTGACTTGGACGCTTTTCATCCTGTGGCTCCTGAACACTTTCCTTGCTCACAGCCTCGGTGAACACCTTTGCATCCAGTCAGGGTACAGAGCGTGCTGCCCTTAGAGGTGGAGTTCTCGGCACCAGAGTTCAGTGAAGAATGAGTAGGGCGGGTGGCAGCAGTGCCAGCTTGCTGTGAGCGCGTTCCCTGCACGTGGTTTGTTTTCACGTGGGACTGTGACTCGAGGGCAGTCCTGCCCAAGAGGTTAGAAAAGTAAGACTTTTAGAAGTTAAGTGATACGTCTGAGGGTCAGACAACTAAAAGTTGGATGTGTCATTAATCCTGGTCCCTTGTCTCTTCCACTTAATAATTATGTGATGTTGAACGCATCATTTCGCTTCTGGTCTTCGTCTTGTGTACAAAATGCCAGGCGTCTTTGGAAAGATCATTTCTGACAAACTTTACTGGTTAGGAAAAATACTGTTGGGGTCTGGGGTCTTACTGTGAGTGACGCGGGATGTGCATCTTTTCCTCTTGACATACAACTGGTTTGAACTGGAACTTCTGTGTTAGGAGTCCTCACACCTTTTAAATTCTGTTATATCAGAAAGCATTTTTTAGTTCTGAAATGAAGCTTTTGGAATCTTTAATATTTAAAAATATGTGCCACATGTCTATATATAAATACATGCATATGACAAGCAGATCTTGTGAGGCTTTTGCTTTTGAAGTTATTTTAAAATACAGATTTTAACCAGTTTTCTTTTCTTGAATGGAGGCTGAGAGGTCTGAAAAGACATTTTTCAGGCGCAACAAGTCTCTTTCTGACCTTTGAGGTTAACATTTTAAAAATTCCTCGTCGCAGAATAGCTTGATCGTATTGTTGTTCCTTGCCCGTATTTTGGAGAGTTTTTGGCATGAAAATATAGGGCGTAATTCTGTGTGTGTGTGTGTTTCTTTATCTTGTTTTTTTAATAGAGAAGGTTATACAGTTTAGTTTCGATGAGCAATGAAATGAAATCTTCCAAACTGGCCTCCTGAGGTATAAAAACATTTGAAAATAGACCATTGCTTGTGTTGACGTATTCTATAAAATCAGGCATTCTTTTCTAAGCACGCTTCTACTTGCCTTGTGAACATCAGTTCTGAGGGCTACTTCCTGTATACATGAAGCTGTACAACTTCACAGACAATGAACTGTGGCCACAGGAAAAATAAGTGGAAGGAGCAAAAATGCCATTTGTTTTATTTTACTCAGGAATCTTTTTATGCAATTCTGAAATGTGAGTTTATTCCCCCAAGTTTTTACTCTGAGCTGTAAGGCAGGGCTACCAGCGAGCACTTTTTCAGCCAGCCATCTGAAATTTGGAGTTTGGAGAGGTCAGGAGTGGTGTGGAAGCTTTGGAAGTGACATATGCTGGCCACAGTCCTCCCTAACGTGGATTCCTTGTAGCTTGTCCTCTGTCTTTGGTGCCACTGCTGCTTGTGACTAATTCATCCTATCCATGCTGCTGTTGCTCTCGCTGTTAGCCCATGGGACAGAGGCACCTCACACCTCACTAAAGGACACCTCCTCCAGTGCTGAGCTTCACTCATTGACTTTCATTAAAATGTTTTTTCTTCAATGAAAATGCTTTTTGCTGTTGCATTCAGCTTATATTTTATTCTCTCAAACTCACTGCCATTGAGTTGATTCTGATGCATAGTGAACCCCATTGGGTTTCCAAGGCTGTAATTCTGTCTTCTGTGGTTCAAACCACTGACCTTTTTCGTTAGCAGCCAAATGCCTTAACCACTACACCACCAGAGCTCTTTTTTTCTAGTAACATTTTCAGTAACATATTTATACCTTTTAATTGCTGTTACACTAATTTTTCTGCAGATGTTCATTCTGGACAAAGTGGAAGGTGATACTTGTTCTCTTAATGAGTTTACCATAACCGGATCAACATATGCACCTATTGGAGAAGTGTGAGTAAATCCCTTTGCTGTTTAAAGAACCCATTTTTTTGTGTGTCTAAAAAATTCACACACCTTGAAGGAATGAGTTGCTGGGCACCGGCGCTCTGGACCATAGTCTTGGGGGTGCTGTGGTCAACCACATTGTCCACAAAGACTGTACTACATCATACTTGGGTGAATAGTGACTGGGGTCTTACAAGCTTATGAATGGCCATCTAAGGTGCATTGGTCTCTCAGCAAAAGAAGAGTGAAGAAAAAGATTCAAGGAAGTAACCGAAAGGACTAATGGGCCACACAAATCCCAGCTCCACAACAAAGACTAGGCTTTACTAGTCTGGTAGAGACTGATGGAACCCCCAAAACTATGGCCTTTTAGACTTAAGCCAGGGACTGGACTCAACCCCCATGGCTCAACTTTCAGAAGCCAAACAACAGACAGACCAAAAAAGTGAATGATAATACTAGGGAGTATGCACTCATTAGAACAAATAGCCATATAAAATCAGAAGGGCAGCATTTGCCCAGGACGAAGCTCAGAAGGCGGGAAAAACTAGGAAAGAGGACAAAGGGAGAGGGTAAACGTGGGGGGGGGGCAGTAAGAGTGCTGTTACATTGTGGGGATGTGGTAAATGTCATAAAACAAGGTTGGGATGGATTGTTGAATTTGCCCTGTGAACTGTATAATTTAATTTCCGCCCCCTCCCCCCAAAAAAAGCAACTTTCTGAATGTGACTCATAGTAATCCGTTATTAGAGCAGTACCCTCGCCACACACACACACACACTCTAGACTTCTAGACTATAACCCACACCTTTGAACATGGCCTTTTTCATCATCTTTTAGCTGCCTTGAAGCCCAAGTTTTCAAATGAAGTTTCTATTGGTTCTTCATTGATACCAGTGGGGGGGGGGGCACTGCATAAGAATTCTAGATCTTTTCTGACAATTGAGTCCTGATACCAGAAGTTTATTTTTGTCTAGAATCTGTTGAATACTTGCTCCTTATCCAAAATTGTACTATGAAATAATTAGAGGTAAAAATCACTAACTATGGCCACACTGTGCTCTGAGGGTGTGTTTTCTCTTTTGACAGGCATAAAGATGATAAACTGGTGAAGTGTCATCAATATGATGGTCTTGTAGAATTAGCAACGATTTGTGCTCTTTGTAATGACTCTGCTTTGGATTACAATGAGGTAACTCTTCATGAATAGGAACTAGACCTGGCTGTCCTTAGTTCCGGGTCAGGGTGGGTAGATTGAAAATCCTGCCTCCTCCTGCCCTTTGGAAGGTAAGGTTCCCGATTTCATTTCTCCTTCTTGTGCAAGGGCCTGTGTGTCTCGGGACCAGCCTGACCACCCTAGCCAAAGCAAGCAGAGAGCCTTCGTCTCTTCTGTACAGGGCTTCAGGGCTTTACATTACTTCACTGTGGGTTCTGCTGAACATGCTATTTTGGGCTGTTTCTAGTATCGTTACTGTAAGTGGATAAAACCCAACATAGAAATATTTTTATGAGAGCACTGGGTATTGATTTTGCTTTTAAATCTTGGTTTTATATCTTTTGAGGACAAGGTGAGGCTAAGAGAATATGATGTTAGCATAGCATGATAACTGAAAATTTAACCAATAGAAAAGTCTTTATTTAAATAGGTAAATCCTGTGGTTTCTATCTTAAGAGTCAAAGCGATCACCATCAGAAGGTAAACTCTTGAATGGTAAGCAATGATGAGGAATTACAGATACTATTTAGTAAATACTGTGATTAGTAGCAAATGGAAAACCTAAAAACCTAATTGTTAGAATGAGAAAACACACACCTGTGCTTTGGGCTTGTTTCTACTTACCTGGAGCGTGTGCTCTGTCATGGGATAAAAATGGCCCACAGACTAATGATGCATGATGCCGTGGAGGACAGGTATCCTTCTAGGGGAAGCATTTCATTGAAGAAAACTTTCTCTCTGTGCTTCTGTTCCCTTTTCTACTTTCCCCAACAGGCAAAGGGTGTGTATGAAAAAGTGGGAGAAGCTACAGAGACGGCACTCACCTGCTTAGTAGAGAAGATGAATGTATTCGATACTGAATTGAAGGGGCTTTCTAAAATAGAGCGTGCAAATGCCTGCAACTCGGTCAGTATGAGATTGTGGTCTGGAGCTTGGGTGTGGCAACAGCCTCTCATCTGTCCCCTAGTCCATTTTTAGACAACAGACTGCTCATCTCCCCCCACCCCAGTGTCTCAAGTAAAATGGCCTTGCCTAGTTATTTGACCAACAAAGGAAAAGCACTCAGTAGAGGTCATTTCCACGAGGAAGCCCCTGAGCCCACAAGTTCTGCCCTCACCCCTCCCATGCAGTGACCCCTGTTCTCCCTGCAACATCAAGGTCCCATCTTCACTGGATCTTCATCAGCATCAGTATATTTTTAATCTTAAAACTTTTTTTTTTTATTTTTTGCCCCTTATTTCCCTCTTCACCACCTCAGTTCTTCTTTCCTTTGATAGTAAAACTACTCATGAGAGTCATTGCTGTACCTTCTCATTCTACTCCCCTAGTCCACCTTCCTTCTCAAGGTCACTTTGCACTAAAGCCAGTGGTCAAACCATTTACGTAATAGCACATGTAAAGTACCTAAAGTAACAACTGACAGGACTGGACACACAGAGACAGCCACAATCAGAGTTGAAGATTTTGGCATGGTAAATTCCATCTCAGTATAAAGCAGGTGAAAAATAAGTAAGGATGTAGAAAACTTGATCAACAACTAAGAGAAAACTTGATCAACAACTAAGAGTACTCCATTCTGTAGTTGTCTGCTTTTCAAATGCATAAGTAATAGTTACCAAATGGGCCACTGTGCTGGTCCACACAGGCAAGACTCAGTAATGACAGGATGGAAGTGGTTCAGACGATACGTGCTGTCCAAAAGGGAATTCAATTTGGAATCGGTAACAAGATAACTAGCTGATTCTCCAAGTTGAACAACACACTTTTGAATAAAATCAGTGATAGAAGCATTCACCTCAAATTAGAAAACCAGGAAGTTAAACACAAAGTAGAAAAAAAGCAACAGACAAGATACATAAATCAAATATGAACAACTTCATACCGGTACATTTGATCACTTAGAAAAAATGAACACATCCCTTTAGTTACACGGTTTCTTAAAAACTTCCACAAGACTTGTCCAGGCCGAGTTGATTTCTCTGGTATACCCGAAACATTTAAGGGAGGAAAAAAAAATGTGACTGCTACACAGATTTTAGTTGAAGAGAAGGGAAAATTAACTCAGCTTGATAAAGCCAGCAGACCCTGATCCTAAAACATGACCTTCCAAGGAAAGGAAGTTACAAACTACTCTTTCCTCATAATATAGATGTAAAAATTCAAAGTGTGGAAAAAAAAACAGACCCACTGCTACTGAGTTGATTCTAAATAGTGATCCCCGGTTGGGTTTCCAAGGCAATAAATCTTTACGTAAGTAGATTGTCTCATCGTCATTCAAACTGAGTCAAATGATATGTAGCAGCATTAGGAGAAGCAGGGTGTTGGGTGAGAGGGACACAGAGGGTGCAGGTCTGCCCAGGAAATAGTGGTGGCCTGTCAGCTCCCGCCTGCCTGCCTGAGTTTGTATCACCAAGACCAGAGCAAGGCTGGAGGCCTCTGTAGCCAGCTGGCCGGAGCCTTTGTGACATGAACAAGGCCCCACCAAGGAGCTGGCTGTCCTGAAGGCCACCAGACTGAACTGCCCCACAACAAACTACCATAGGGTCTGCGGCCAAGCCAGACCTGAGTGTACATGAGCTCCAGCCCTGCCAGTGGACTCTGACCAGCCCACTGCCCTCCAACTTCCAGGTCACCCTGCCTGTTCCATTCTGCACATCTCAAGAGTCTGTCAGTGGTTGAACATGAAATGCAATTGTCCTCCTAGCCTCTCCTGGCCAAAGTGGCAGGTGACTCCCTAGATGAAAAAATGCCACCTAAACAGAATGGATTATGTAAGGGCTCTGCGGGCTGACTAGGAACAAGATGGAGCAGCGTGGGACCAGAGTGCAGAATCAGCAGATGGACAGAAGGGATGTCAGAGAGGGCGGTGATGCCCTCCAAGCAGCTGAGCCGGAGCCAAAGAAACCCGAGAAGCCAAGTCAGGCCCTGGGACTGGAGGCCAGCTGTTGATTCAACGGGCCATCCCACTAGAGGCACCCACGCTCCTGGGCTCTGACGAAGCTGCTGCTGCTCTTGCTGCTGAGGGGCAGGGGAGCTGGTGGCTTGTCATTCACAGCTAGAGTACCCCCACCCCAGAGCAGCTGCCATACATGTGCTCTAGGGTCTGCACGGCCATGACACCCCATGGAGGTATGAACAGGCCTTGGCAGTGACCTGTCCTTGACACCTGCTGCCTGCCCAGCCTGATTCGTGGGACTGTGTTCTTTCCTTAGTTTCAGACCTACCTGCCATCATCAGCTGCCAGTCAGTACTTGAGACCTCTTGGTAGGGCTACTTTTGTTCCTTAGGGTTCCTTGGTGGAATGAGGAGGTGAGCATAGACAAGTGTCCTATGTTCCATTAAATGTTGAGGCATGGGGTGAAGAGGGGTGGAAACGGCCTTGCTGCTTGTTTGTGCAAAGTTGTGTGAACACAAGGGCACACTTCGCTAAAATGGCCAGCTCTTGCTGCCTCGATGCTTGTATGTGTCACACACCCTTTTATTCCTTTGTACCCAAGGCAGATGAAGCAATGTTATGGAGGGACTAGGGAGACACCACAGTCAGCAAAGACAGAGCGAACTGGGCCGGGGGCAGGGCGTATCTCAGACATTACATATTGAAGCGACTACACAGAACCTCAGGCTATGAAAGACTGTCTAGTCCAGTGTAGCCCCTGTAAGTAGGGCCTTACGTATACATGATACATATTATCATATATATGATATATAATGTAGCCTTCCAAGACTTGCCTGGTCTCACAGTGGAAGGCAGAACTGTCCTTTATACCATTCTGTCTCCTTTGCAGTGTCCTGAGAAACGTAGGCTCGTATGAGTTGAGAACTTCTCAGGCAAAGTATAGACTTAGGGCAGAAAATCATGATTCACAAATAGAAATCACACAGCTAGGAGGGGATCTTTATGGAAGCCCCATCTCAAAGGGCTCCACTGGAGAGGCTTAGCCCTCAACTGTAAACCAGCGCCTCGACCACCAGTAAGTGAGGAGGCAGGTCCCTGGAAGACCACCCGTGCCAGCTCTCATTGGTCGGTGTAACTAAATGCCAGAGAGGCAACTGACGGCTCAGCTGCTCCAGACCGAGGGGTGGCCCTGCTTCCTCTAGACCCGGAGCGGTGTCTGCTCGAGGCAGCAGACAGCAGCACAGAGCTTGCCACGGCGCACAACGCACACAACCAGGGCTACCCTTCGTGGCGGCCACGCTCAGCATTTTCTTGTTACACCCTGGTCATGGCAGCAGAAGGAGCAGTCTAAAATGACCACCCTTGGTGTGCAGTCACGGGAGATTCCTGATTCCTCCAGGACGGTGGGAAGCTGCCTAGCTTTCAGCCCTGGGGGCCCACAGACAGGGCACCCCTCCTAACCATGCTGATGGTGGAAAACACACCATGGGTTGACTGTTCCGCAGCAGGACATGGCACACCTTCCTCAGAATCACCATGTACGCCTTTACTCTTCCTCCAGGCAGCTTGTCAGGACACAGGATTCAGCACTAACTCCACCCTGATCCTTTGTTGCTGGAGGCTTCTCAGGATGGCTGGAGTCAACCAAGCCAGACTAGAAAAAGAATCTGCAAACAACATTCACACAGCATCCTAGGAAAAAAAGATACTCAGAGTTTTTGGGGATTTCTGTAACTATTACTATGGGTCTTAGCAGAAAGAAATTAATGAAATTCACCAACCAAATTAGTATGGAAAAAGCTTCTGTTAAACATTTAACCTTAGTGGAAATTTTGGCCAACTAGGAATGCAAGAGCATGTCTTCAAGTTGATAGCTTTACACTAAAGTCATGCTTAATGGTGGCAGGCGGAGGAGGTCCTTTCGGATGTTTCTACTCAGCATCATCACACTGGCTGCCACCATCTATAATGCAGGAGGAAAGGCAGGATACAGGAGGAAGAAACGCAAGGGGAACTAGAGGTGACAGGACTGGCTGGAGAAGCTGCAGAATCTAACCCCATTGGTTAATTTCCTGCCCTGACCTGAGCTGACCCTCCACAAGTGGGCCATTTGCAGTACCAGATTACCCTGCTTCCAGGACACCGCAAAGGCCTGGCCTCTGCCTCAGGCTCTTTGGGCCTTTTGGTCCAGCTTCTGTCAAGTCTGGTCTATCAGCAGTGTCTGCAGCAGCCTAGCCACACAAAGCTATTTAAAATACTTACAGGAAACAGAAACAGGTCCTTAAGCATACTGGCTGCATACAGACTGCAGATAGATCGTCGCCACTGATTGTTCTTTCGGACAGCCTCGCTCAAGCCTACCCACCTCCTCCGCCACTGTCCCCTGCTCCCAAGTCACCACCTTTGGTTGTACGCACTCCCCTGGCCTGTGCTTCACAGAACCCTGTATTATTTTTCTCTCTCACTCAAAACAGCCATCTGGCTTGTAACTTTAAGGCCTTACAACCTGCCATGGTCTGTGCAATTTCCAGGTTTATTTCCATAAACTCTTCAGCCCAATCTGACCTGGCAGCACCTTGACCATGAACATGCACGTGGCCTACATCTGCTGTTCCTCCTTTGTTTTCACCTGTACTCGGCCTTAGTGAGGCTCTCCCTGACCTCTCCTCCACCCTGCAGTCTACACATACACAGGTGTCTGTCCCCCTTCTCCATTGTTGAAGGCTGTCAAATCAGTTCAGAGTTAGGACCCTATAGGACAGAGTAGAACTGCCCCATAGGGTATACAAGGTTGTAATCCCTATGGAAGCAGACTGCCACTTTCTCCCACACAGCACACACTCCATTTTCTTCTTACCTCCTGGTTTACCCTTCAAACGAGGGTGCGAGTTTCTTGGGGCAAGAAAATGTCTTGTTTGTTCATTGCTGTATCCTTAGTGCCTACCATGTAACGTGTGCTCAATGGAATCTTTGTTGAATGGAAATTTTTAAGACTTGTTCTCCAAATGATTGCATGTTTGTTCTCTTTACCATAGGTCATCAGACAGTTGATGAAGAAGGAATTCACCCTCGAGTTTTCACGCGACAGAAAGTCTATGTCTGTTTACTGTACGCCAAACAAACCAAGTCGGACATCAATGAGCAAGATGTTTGTGAAGGCAAGTATAGCTCCCTGATGCTCAGACGTCCCCACCAGGACAAGGGGCCTGTGTGAACCAGCTAACAGAAGCGTCCATCTGAATCTGTATTTACAGGGTGCTCCCGAGGGTGTAATTGACAGGTGTACCCACATTCGAGTGGGAAGCACGAAAGTTCCCATGACTTCAGGGGTCAAGCAGAAAATAATGTCTGTCATCCGAGAGTGGGGCAGTGGCAGTGATACCTTGCGCTGCCTGGCTCTGGCCACACACGACAACCCAATGAGGAGAGAAGAAATGAACTTGGAGGACTCCGCCAACTTCATCAAATACGAGGTGAGTGGTCCTTCACCTGCACCCTCCACTTACGTACAAGCAGCCATCCTTGAAGTGAAAATTTAAGGATGGAGCTTTTGCCAAAAAGAGGCGGAGTTACTTGTTTTGCTGGGGACCACATGCATCACCCTTAGAATTTAGGTGAAACGTATAGCTCTGGTAGCATAGTGGCTAAGACACTTGCCTGCTAACCAGACGGCTGGCGGTTCAAACCCACCAGCCACTCCTCGGAAGGAAGGTTGGGCAATCCTACTTCCGTAGTGATACTGCCTCGGAAACCCAAGGAGGGGTCGCTATGAGTCGGGTTTGACTCGACGGCACATAACAACAACAACATGTGAAACGTACATAGTTAAGGCTTTACTAAAAGATTGCCACTGCCAAAGTAAAATCCTCAAGATGTCAGCTCCAAAAGCTTGTGAAACCTATTTTGCAAATCTTGTGTAGGTAAAAACTTTTGAAATTGGGTGTTTTGTAAATATTCAATCGTTATTGAAGGTTAAAATATCCAAGTTGAGAGATCCTGCTCTTTTCTGATGCTAGAACTCCTTCAAGCCAGGGATATGACCTCCTAAAACTTTGAATGAATGGGAAGAGCAAGTTTGGCCAATTTCAAGAAGTTCTTACCCCAGGGTGTTTTGTCCCTAGTTCAAGAATGATTGGTGCAGTAGCGTGTTTAATCCTTTTTGATTAATTGGGAACCATTTTATTATTGTGACTTTTATTCATAGATAAGAATCAATGTAAACTTGAATTTTTAAAAAATCTCTTAAGAAAATGTAGACCTGGGTGGTGCCTGGTTTCTGAACATTTTGATCAAAGATTTTACAGAAGAATCCCAATCAAAAACGAGAAAATGAAGAACTTCAAAAGTCTCATGGAATCCAGACAAAATGCAGCCTTAGAGTCTGGGTGTGAATCCCTAAAACGATTGCCCTGAGATAATCTTTAAACCTTAAACCAGAAATACACCCTAAAGCCTGCTAAAAAACAAACACTAGTTTAGCTTAAACGTCTTTCCGATCTCCCTATATGGGATGAAGGGAGCTCTGGTAGCATAATGCCTAAGCACTTGACTGCTAAATAGAAGGCTGGCAGTTCAAACCCACCAGCCACTCCTCAGAAGAAAGATGGGGCAATCTACTTCCGTAGTGATAGTGCCTCGGAAACCCAAGGAGGGGTCGCTATGAGTTGGGTCCGACTCGATGGCATACAACAACAACATATGGGTTGAAACTTGGAGGGCAACGAGTTCACGACAGTCAGGGCGGAACAGCGAGGGCAGTGAATATGCTGGAACATCATTGTGTCGCTGAATTTTATATGTAGAAACTGTTGAATTGATGTATGTCTTGTGTGTATTCTCAATAACAACAAAATTATTTTTTAAAGAAAAGAAAGGCAGTGTCTTTTGCTCTTGATGTATATAACTGGCCACAGTTTCAAATTGCGGGGGGACCATGAGGATTTCCTGTTTAAACAAAGTATTTCTTAATTCAGACCAACCTGACCTTCGTTGGCTGTGTGGGCATGCTGGACCCCCCAAGGATCGAAGTGGCCTCATCAGTGAAGCTGTGCAGGCAGGCGGGCATCCGCGTCATCATGATCACAGGGGACAACAAGGGTACCGCTGTAGCCATCTGTCGCCGGATTGGCATCTTTGGGCAGGACGAGGACGTGACATCGAAGGCCTTCACGGGCCGGGAATTTGACGAGCTCAGTCCCCCGGCACAGAGGGACGCCTGCTTGACTGCCCGCTGCTTTGCTCGTGTGGAACCTTCCCACAAGTCCAAAATCGTAGAGTTTCTTCAGTCTTTTGATGAGATCACAGCGATGGTGAGTGTCTTTGGACATGTACAGGGGACTCTAATTCCTAATCAAAGATTTAGGAATGGCTCCCTGATTAGTAATTTCTTGTGTACCCCCCTTCCCTTAAATTTTTTCTGATTTTATTTTGATCTGGGCTACTTTTCTAGAATCTTGTTGACCTGCAGTCAGCAGTGTGTGTTGCCCACAGGGAAGACCCTTGAGTAGTTTAGGACCCAGAAGTGTCTTTGGAATCAGATAAGAAATGTTTCATCTTGATTAATGCCTATTTGTTTATCTAACAGTTTGTAAACACTGATTGAGGGTGAGCAGTCAGTGTCTGTCAGCCAGTCTTCGGCTAACTATCTTCAG